TCTGTTTGAGAATAAATCATCTCTGTGGGTTGCAGGCCATTTGAAAGTCTCTAACGGTGCTCGGGCTTAATAATTGCTGTCTGGTCTTTTGTTTGAAAGCACGTACATGCTGACACACAGACATAACACACACAAACAGATGCACTCAGAGGATGCACCCTCTTGATAGCAGGTTTTGCTTCTGTCACAATAATGTTGGCTTTTACTGGCCTGCCACTTAATGGCTTCAGTGGCATGCTTAATGGCTTCAAGCATGGTTAGCTTATACAATGTGCAAAACAGCTGACATTAACTCACACACACACGTCCATGTCCACATGAATATACAAATGAACAACTTCATCTACTCTTACCCCCCAAGACAGACAATGTCCTTGAGAGCAGTTGACTGTTGTAGATATGCATAACAATAAGCCACCCAGCTAAAACCTGAATTAATCTACTCTGTGAGGTTTGAGCACATTTTTTCTGTTTTCCGAATGTGCCTTTTTTGTGTTTTTTCTCTCTGTAGTACCCAGATAATAACTCTACTACACTTACAATCCCATAAACCTCCAAGGTAATTCTACTAAGTTGCACAAATAAAGAGCAACAGTCATTTCAGAATAATGGATGAGCTTTTGATGTATTTACTCTTGCAAACAGATTTAGTCATTGTTGTCCTTAATTTATTTTTAATTCACTTGCTATCAAACAGATACCAGGAGAGATGGGTGTGTAAATTAAAACAGAAAATACTTTGTGACCCAGATTACAGAGTTAAATATATTCAATTCAATTCATTTTTACTGATATAGAACCAAATCAAAACAACTGCAACCTCAAGGTCCTTTATAGTGTAGGGCAAAGACATCATGATAATAGAGATAAAATGAAACAACCCCCTATGAGTGACTGACAACAGAGGAAAGGAAAAACTCCCTTTTTTGAAGCAAGAAACGTCCAACAGAACCAGGCTCAGGGATTGGTGGCTATCTCCTGAGGGATGATGAAGGGAAAAAAGAAAGCAAAAAAAGACAGGACCAAAAAAAACCACAAATCATGGGAGTCATTGAAGAAAGCTAATATGGAGCAAATATTGGTATCCTGTCAGTACTCTCACTGCAGCATTTTGGATGAACTAAAGGCTTTTCCAGGAGCTTTTAAAACAACCTGATAATAATGTATTAAAGTAGTTGACTATATAAGTAATAAATGCATGAACTAGTCTTTCAGCATCACTCTGAGACAGGATGTTTCAAATTTTACAGATATTGAGCAAATGCAAAAAAGCAGTCCTACATATTTGTAGTATGCGCATAAAAGGACATATCCTGATCAAAAGTTACTCCAAGATTCTTCCCAGTGTTTCTGATAGACAAGGTAATGTCATCCAGAGAAAGTATTTGGTTAGACACCCTGTTTCTAAGATTGTCAGGGATGAGTACAATAACCTCAGCTTTATCTGAACTAAGAAGCTGGAAACTGGAGATCATCCAGACCTTTATGTTTTTAAGACATTCTTGTAGTTTCACAAATGAATGTGTATCATCTGGCTTCATTGATAAATAAAGTTGGGTATCATCAGCATAGCGTTGAAAAAGTATGTTATGATACATAGTAAGTTGTAGTAAATATAATGTAAATAAATCAAAGAGTTGTGTATGTATATGTTCCAATAAATTAGAAAAAACAAGCAATACTTTACTAACATTTTACAATATTTGACATTTACTTAACTGCAGTACCTAAGCACAAGTGCCCTTGCTTTTAACATGAGTTTACTAAAAAACTCAAAACCCATTTTTATAGTCAAAAAGTTTTTCCTTTGCTATTATTGCTTATGGGGTAAAGAGCGGTGGTGACATTCATTGCTTAAGTAAAAAGTGTATTTGTTTTCTAGTGTGACACACAAATTTCATCCCAGAGAATCAAAAGCTTTCAGAGGCGGCTGTTGTCTCAGAGATATGAAGAAGATTTCCTTTTTTAATGGATTGTTTTAGGGTTAAATCCTCTGTTTGGTGAGGCCTTGCTATTTGGGGAGGACTGAAAAAAGGTTCTTCTCAGTTGAGCTTTTAGCAGTATGATGGCCTCTGCCAGCTGATGGTGCTGGGTTCCTGCTCAATAATGGGCATCAAGGACAGGGTAGCTGCAGACACCTGCTTCTCCAGAGAGATGACTAGGGCGGGGTGTTATAAGCTGTGTGAGTTTAGTACTGTAGTGTTGAGTCACTATGTTTGTTGTAACTTGTGTTCTCCTAAAAATCAGCTATGATAAGTTTATCCATATTTTATACTAATTATCTGTGTCTACTGCATCTGTCTGGAAGCACCAAATGTAGCATTATGAGAGATTGTGATCCTCTTTGAAGAGACCGTGGTTCATGTCCTGTTTGGGAGATGTATTTAGCTTTTTGCTTTTCTTGGTTTTCACTTGGTCTTTGTCTGGTTTTCATTTACTTGTTTATATTTGCTTTTAATTGCTGGTTTGGTTTAGTCCTTTAGAAAGAGGTCACATTTTTGGGTGAAATTATAACTGTCTGTCGGTCAGTCGCATATGTTTCATGACTTTTTGCTGACAGTTAACTTTTTGGTTAGTTAAATGGTGCAAAACAGCTTAAGTAACAAGTAACAAGCTTCTCAGTGACTTTCTTCATTGTTATGTGAACAGGTTCCATGACAGTGTTGACACCAGCAGATAACATCTGACTACAGTTCCATTTAATCTATTTCAGAATTTTGTGTATTGAATTCTGTTAGGCTAATTTCTTGTTGAAAAATGAGACTAATAAGGAAGCTAGTGTAATAAAAGTTCCTGAGCAAATGGAATTAAATAGTCATGTATATACAACACAATCCATTTGAAAGCCACCATTTTTTAAACCATTTTCAGCTGTTTTTATGGATGATATTAGGCATGAAAAGTTTTTAATTTCACTATTTTGTATCCTGAAGTAATATGGATATATATCTATATCTATATCCATATCTATCTATCTATATTATAGATATAGATATATAGATATAGTATAGGTAGTTTTACAACTCCCAGATACCACATTTGTACATTCATTCATTGCAAAGTGACAGGATACTATCATTATCCACACCGTCCTCAGCTTCTGGGGCACCAGTAATAGAGGAATTACAGTTAGGGATCAATCTTCTGCCAAATTCAGGATAGATATCTAGGTCTGACGGTTCACTGTCCATCTGGTGCAAGATTTTACTCTTTTAAAGCAGTGATTATCAAAAATACATAAACTGGTGAGCAGGGATGCAATCATCTGAGTGGTGGTCAAGGTCTCACTTTGTCTGTTTACTCAACGGCTGTCAAGTATTTTCCAACATGTTAGACATTTAAGCTCTAGCTGAAGGTCTCGCTTTACTGGAGAGTTCACTACAAAAATAAAAATCCATTTTACTAATTATTTCATGACACAGAAATAAATCACTAGAAATTTGAGACAGCTCTTTTTTAAAAATGGTTTTCATGAATTAATTATATCATATTATACAACCTGCTAAATGTTTTTTAGCAAGCCATAAAACTTGCCAAAGAGTGCTTTAAAGTTTGTGGCTATGCACTGTTTTAAAATTCAGGAATTGGGGTGCAAATGCCTCAGCGTGCCAGAACAGAAGAAATGCTTGTAATTTTGTGTGAGCTGCCTGAATAAAAGGCGTATCCATAATAATAAATAGGCTCTTACCTGTTATGTGTTGGAATGGAACCAGCACACTAGAAAGACACAAATTTTTTGGTTATCATAAGCAATAAAATGACAAAAATGAAAATTAAAAATATAAGGAAACTTTAAAAAATCACTTTGCTTGACAGTAGAAACAGAAGTGAAACATAAAATGAATGAATGCTTTCAAAGATCTCTCTTTTCTCTCTGTTCATTTATTTAATATCAGTGATCTCCTCATGGACACACCATACCGCCTCTTTACCAGCCACTTTTTATAAGTATTTTATTTTTAATGCAAAACGCTGGACTTTGCACGATTGAAGTCTTTCATTTCGTTTCCATCTATTCATTTTCTTCCACTTGTCCAATTTAGGGTGGCAGCTGGGCTGGAACCTATCCCAGCTGTCACCAGGTGTGAGACAGGTCACTTTGGAAGAGAAGTAGTAGTAAAATACAAAGTGAGTGGTTATATAAACATTTAATAATAAATCAATGGGATGAAACAAGGACATGAGAGAGCAACTTTGACAGTCTTAGTTTTGTTGTCAGTTTAATCCCTCATTCCTTGAATGCGTATAAAATAGTCAGTCCAGTAGTAGCCTGTGGCTCCCAGGCCTTATAATCTCTAATCCACGGTCTGGGGCAGATTAAGAGCAACACAGGGGACTTCATCTTTCCAGGGAGGCAGGGAAGGGCGACAGAGGAGGACAGAGTAGAGAGTAGTAAATCGTGGTGGGAATAACTGTGGGGAAACTAAGCTAACTACAAGACACAGAGAGAAATGAAACCAGTTCGGACATAGAAATGTATGAAAGACAACTCCAAGGATGCGGTGTGACTGAGTGAACTGATCAGAAAAAAAGACAGGATCGCGTTAAAACAAAACATCACAGCAGGGTAAAGTTAATGGAAATGTTTTTTATGTAAAAAGTGTCCAGTTGATGAAACGGATAACCTCATACAGCACAGAAACTGGCATCCCCATCACCACCTCCTGTTGTACAAGGGGGTTAGCTATCAACGGCTGAGTGAAGTGCCCGTGGCAGAGCAGATTACCCCTCTCCTCATCTGTCTGTCTCTTCGTTAGACTCCCCTCTGCATCCCCCGCCCTCCCTGATATTCACATTTCATCTGTCTTTCACCAAGGTAATTCCAGACAGTAGATGCGCGCCCCGGCTGGCAACTGCTGCTGCTCACAGTTACTGCCGCTTCTTTCTCTTTATCTCTCTCCTGGGTCTCCTCCTCTCTTTCTTTCTCTCTCTCTCACTCTCTCTCTTCACTCCAACCCCACCCCTCTCTCTTCCCCCCCACCCCTCACGGACGCAGCATACCTCCTCTTTACCAGCCACCGCGCGTGCTGCTGGGGCCGACGCTAACACCCGCATACGGAGTGCGGACCGCGGGAGTGTCGCTGCGCGCACCCTCGGTTAATTTTTCTCCTGGTAGCCCAGCCTACGTTTCCCCCCTCCTGGCGAAGAAAATAATAGTGGCTTTTGGAGCTCTCTATACTATACGTGTTAGAGCCCCCTCCTCTTTCTCTCATCTCTTCAGGAAGCTACAGATAATTCCGGAATATGGTACCTCTCCGTGTTAATGCCATGTGACAAGGCTTTTCATCATTTCTTGTATTGACTGTCAAAAGTCGCTGCTGGGTTTTGTCAAGGTGCTCTGCCTGTTGTGGTGGTTAAACGGTGGCTAGGTGAAGGAACAATAAAAAGACAGCCTTTGGGATAAATGGAAGTTTTGGCCGTTGGCTTGCTCCGTTGAGGCTGCTGCTGCTGCTGCTGGTGGTTTGGTGATTGGTGCAGGGGGAAACTGCGTCGCCAGGTCTGAGAGGCTGGGGATCTCGAGTCATTATAACAGAACCTGCTTTTCAAGATAACAAGGTTTCCTCTCACGTTATCAAATGATTACAGATTTATTCCTTTAAATGAGCTGCCACAACCTCCAGCCCGTCAGCTCGTTTTAACGCGTCGGCGTTTGGATGCGGTTTGTTTTCTCCACGGCTCAACGTCTCTACTCGTCCAGAACATGATTTAATGTTGGGAGGAATTTCAACAGGGCACCAGTCTATGACTACCCAGGAATCTCTTCCTCTTTTCATCTACAGGCAAGCATTACACTCTCAAGAGAACACATAAAGACAGAGATCACCGGGAATTTCCTTCACCACCTTACAGATGGACTAAAAAAGGAAGCTTCTGTTTTCGGGATTTTAACTCAGTTTGCTCTCGCGCAGAGAGCTGTAGTTTTTCTCGGTTTCTGGGGGAAAATATTTCTGGACATAATGAAAGTTATATCGGCTGTGTTGCTCGTTGCCGTTTTTTGGAGCCAGGAGTGGAAGTCGACACTCTCGGATTCAATCATTCACATCGGTAAGTTACTGCGCTTTTCCTCCTCTAAATCGCAGCCAGAACGAGACTCTCTGTGAGTCTCTCAGGAAACAGACGGGATGTTTCAGCCTTGCTATGCGCGGTGCTTCTTAAATCACAGCGTCGCTGGCGATATCTTTGGCGCACTGTGGCATAAAGTGGAGTTCTTTGTTAATGAACTCAGTGCATTCAGGATGTAGACAATATATTTCAAATGGATTTCAGTGCGAATATTTGTGAATTTTAGCCTTTTGTTCCACAGCTAAAATGATGACCTGGAGATATGCTATGCGTCATACAAATGAAGTTTGCGTTAGTGCTGAGGGCATTACTGAAAATCAGTTGCATTTATAAACCCATTTTCTGTTTAGTCTACCCATAGTGGGTTTGTTATATATGTGTATATATATATATATATATATATATATATATATATATATATATATAGATAGATAGTTGGGGCATATATTAACACATACATTAAAGGCGGACAATTTTCAGAAAAGAGTCTACCCTTAGAGTGCAGCGTTTGTCTTGCTTTGAGCACAGCGTGCGCGGAAAACAGGTGGTTTTGGATGGCGTGATGTTGCCCTGCGTGTCAGAGAGATTATCCTGGCTGGTAGGAAATTTTCCACTTATAGATTTTCCTGGAGCACGGGGCACTGTCACCTTTCTTTCGCGAGCTACTGCAGTGTCAAGAGGAAAAGAAAAGGTTTTGTCTGCCCTTATGTCTTTTCTGCCCTCCACCACCACCCGTGTAGCATGGCACTGTTGCGTTGAGAGTGATTTCCAAATCAAGGAGCATACACTTTGAGTCGATGTAGCAGCACCTCCGGCTCCTATAGGTTGGGGAGAGAGTGGGAGGGGGAGAGAAAGAGAGAGAGCGCGAGAGAGGGAGGGGGAGAGTTGACAGTGGAGAGCGTGCCTTGCAGGATGAGATGAGGACGCGAGGTGGTGGTGGGCACACATATTCGATGCACAACTCGGTGGCCTCGAAAATGCGATAGACCAGAGCGAGAGAGAGCATACACATGCAAAAAGATAAGCATCTGTCCACTTTTTATTTAACTCGAAGTGCATGGTCAAGATCACATCCAGATCCATTGACACACACACCTTTGGAAAACTGCTTACTCTATGTTAGGCCATCTGTTTATGCCTGAGTGTGACTTCTATACTGTGTGACTCTTGCTTCAATATAGAGCCCAAATAAATTACCAGTTTATATGGGTTTAAAAAAATGCTTTTATGTCATAAGTGCTGAGGTCAATGGGTTTTGATCTTACGAATGATATTGTACCAGTATTGTACCAAAATATAGTAAAAAGCAATTTTCCTCTGTGTTATGGCCATTCATAAGAAAATAATCACAGAGTGTGTTCTTTTTTTTCTAATTAATCAAACACACACACACACACACACACACACACACACACACACACACACACACACACACACACACACACACACACACACACTTAAAACCATCTATCTCACAGTATTATGCTGCCAAGGAGGGAAGACCCTGATCCATTTAAACCCTAGTGATTTACAGCGCTGATCCCAGGCCAGGTTTGTGGCTAACTGAGTGCAGTTTCCAAAATCACTGGTTGAGTTCGAGGTCCTTTCTGGGCCATGGACCAAGCAGATGCTCCACATTAGAACTACAACAGCAGTATGGCAAAACGAATGGGATTTGTCTTGTCGACAGCAAATGCATATTCTAGTAATTTGCAGAGAATGGAACCTGCCAATACTGAGTATAGTTTGCTCAGTAGATCAAAAACCTCCCTTTTGTTTCTGATTTAAATTTAGTTTTACATAAATTTGAGTGCTGTAAAGTCAGTAAAGTGCACAGAAGCTTAGTTGGGGTTGTGTGCTGTGGTTCCTGCCCTGTGCAGGTGGCAGCAGTTAGGCAGCTCATCCCCATGAGTGATGGTTTGATCACAGCAGCAGGTTCATGTTCTGCAAGTGTCTCACAGCAAGAGTTCAAATTTTTACCTGCTTGCTGACTGTAAGTTTCTTCAGATAAGAGTGCTAGCAACGTGCTTAAATCAGAGACATTTTCAGGCTCACCATAAACAAGACAGATCAAATTTGGGTAACTACACTTGTCAGCCACTGGAACTGTAGCTGGCAAGAACCTGCTGTTCTCTGTTCTTCATATATTTCAGACATGGTGTCAAATTTTCATTGTCTTCTTGGAATAAACTCTAGCCAATCATTTTTAAACCCAGTGTTTTACAACTGGCATGCGAAACCCAGTCATTTGCTTACGTATTACCCTTTAAATCTTTCTGAGAATGGGATTTGGTTAGTTGTTAAAATCTGCATTTTTTGCAGATGAAGTTTCTGCAAAACTGCAAAAATTCAACAAATCCAAACTGTAAACTAAACAGATAAATAGATGTAGATAGACCGGCCCCCGACTGGGAATTTCGACATATATATATATCTATATCTATATATCTATATCTATATATATATATATATATAGATATATAGATATATATAGATATATATAGATATAGATAGATATATATAGATATATATAGATATATATAGATATAGCTATAGATAGATATATATAGATATATATAGATATATGTTTGTATAAGATGGTGTAAACAAAGAATGCTTTCAAAAATGGATGTGTTAATCATTTATTTTCATCAATCAACAAAATGCAGCGAATGAACAAAAGAAAAATCTAAATCAAATCAATATTTGGTGTGACCACCCTTTGACTTCAAAACAGCATAATTTCTTCTAGGTACACTTGCACATAGTTTTTTGAAGAAACCCGGCGGGTAGGTTGTTCCTAGTATCTTGGGGAAATAACCACAGGTCTTCTGAGGCTGTATGCTTCCTCACATCCTTCTGTCTTTTCATGTAATCCCAGACACACTTGATGATGTTGAGATCAGGGCTCTGTGGGGGCCATACCATCATGACCAGTACTTCTTGTCCTTCTTTACACTGAAGATAGCTCTTAATGACTTTGGCTGTATGTCTGGGGTCATTGTCATTGCAGAATACATTTGGGACCAATAAACAATCATTTATATTTCTCAAAGCGTTCTTTGTTTACAGCATTTTTTCACAGTTGCTTACAACTTTTGCACAGCAACTTTTGCACAGCAGGGAACAAAGTTAGGGGAATAACTCCAGCTTTTAGTATGTTAAATCTACAATACAGTGGAAACCTGGGCAAGAAATGCTTTGAAATTAGCAGAACTGTGCAGTCTGTTATGGGCTGTTATTTCAGTTGGGTACAAGCTTATCTATGTATGCATTTATGGAAGAAGGTTCAGTGCAGATGGTTAGCTGGGCAGTGTGATTTCTTGCTCAATCTCCTGTCCACCTAGTTTATTTATTTATTTCCCTACTAGATACTAGTACTTTCAATCACAGCTAAAAGTTAGAAACACAAAATGATACTCTTCCTCTCTCGCTCATAGTTTTCTTTTCTCTAAAATATCCATCCTCATCCTCACTTTTACAGCAGATCTTGGAAACGGTACATAAGCAAGGGTATGGAATTAGAAGACACAAGGTGCATTGTGATTTGATCTGTAACTCACAGAAGGTGGTACTATTTTAAGTAGAGGCCAATAGTGGAGATACTTTCTCTCGCCGTCGCTCTATCTCGGCTTGTGTGAGTCCACGTGTGTGTGTTTGTGTGTGTGCGTGTGTGTGTGTGTATCTTATTGACTTAGGTCAACATGAAAAATAAAAAAGTAGTATGCCCACCGGGTGCATCACGTTGACATGTCAGAAGTAATCCCTCTTTAATCTCTTTGTTGCTGTTGAAGATGGAATGAGGGGAAGAGGTGGAAAACTAGACATGCAAGGGGAGATGCATATCAAATAGAGAAAAAGAGGAAGACAGAGAGTAAAAAAGCACCAACAAAGGGAGACTTTATATCACCATCACATACCATTCAGCTGTCTAATCTGAGAACCTGTTGGTCTGTAACTGACTTGCCGTTATTTGGGTGATATTTGCAGGAGTGACCGGCAGATGTTTTCATCTTGCTCTATCCAGGCATTAAATGTGATTGAGCTGCAAGGGGAGCTGGCACTACTGCTTTGCCAGTCTCTCTTTTTTTCACTCTGTCTCTCTCCCATTTTGTCTCTCTAATGATCAGCATGCAGAGGGAAAGGGGGGGGGGGGGGGGGGCAGTCCGCTTGCCTCTTGGCCCTCACTGCATCGTGTTCTGCATGGCAATGTCTCTTTGCTTTATGATGGCAGTTCATATTGGTTCTTCATGTGTGTGTTAGGGAATGAGAGAGACCGGTCTGGTATATATGTATAATATATATGTATATATATATTTTGATGCCACTGGAGTCTTTAAAAAACTCTGAACCTTCCCAGTTCATTTATCTGTGGTGCTTAATTAAAATCATGTATTTCCAGTGCTGAATACTGAAAGGTCAACCCACAGCATTTATCTAAAACTTCAGTAAATAGCTGACAGTTCTCAGTGTTATCATTGTATTCCGGCTATGTAAGCAAACATGCAAACACTTCAACCTCGTGACCTTTACCAGAGAAGCACATTTGTATTCTTTGGTGATTTATTCAGCCAAATTAAGTCCTCACTGTGGTGTCACTGAATTTTAGCCACGCAGTGTGTCAGAGTGCATCCACTGGTACATCAAGCATTAGAGACGAGTCAAAGATGCTGGCTTCTTTCCCTTGTCTGTGAGCCTGGTTCATCCCGGTTCAAACGATGTCTTGCACAGTTACCTTTCTCTGTCTCTCAGCACGATCACCATTCATAGCACTTTCAGTGCTGTTTATGTTTTTCACTTAGTCTGAGGCTACAGGTTGTTATTATAGTATATTATATTATTATCATTTTTAGTGATAGTGTAGTTGCTTACATTTGCCTAGTGAGCAAAAGATCCTCAATTCAATCCTGGACGGAGACACAAATCACATAGATGTTATGTCAGAAAAGGCATCTGGCATAAAAATCTGCCAAGTCAAATAT